TCACGCGCCACCACCAAAGCGTCTTCTCCCTTATGTTGCACCTCCATCACCTTCACATCTCACCTTCGTTCTCGCGCCACCACCCAACGCCATCCCTTGCTATGCCACGATCACCAATCTTCACCATTTTCACCCCTCGCACCAGCCAAATCGTCGTCGCGCCAACAGCACTGCCGTCCAATCTCCATCACAGAATCGTCCACCACTAACCACCAGCCAATCGCCACCTGTTCGCCACTCTTCTCCACCACTAATCGCACCGCTCCTTGCCTCCACCTACAACCACAATTATACTTGCAAGCAAATCATGGAGACCTAGGATTTCTCCTGTTCTTGTCGCATAGCTTTGGTGGTGGCGTGTGATGCGTTGGAGAGGACGACTGCCGGAGAGGATGGCGGTGATGACACGGGATGGTGCGGCGGCTAAGGTTTCTTGGAGAGAAATTAGGGTTTGGCTGGAGATGGTGATGATGATGTGGCAGAGATTCTTTTTTTAAATTAAAAAATCATTTAAGTCCACCTATTAATTTGTGTCACATGCTTATGAGATGCCACGGTGACATTTGCACAGTTATGTTTTTAACGAATTGAGCGGAAAAGATCAGGTTGAACATTTTTTAACGAAATATGAAGTTATACTGAACTTTTTTAAAAGGTAAAATTACTTTGAACCAAATTCCTATAAATAGTCATTTAATAATATATTAAACCTTTAATTAATAAGAAAAACAAATCCCATGAGATAATGATCGGACAATCTCTCTCTGATCATACATTTCAAAGACCATACACAGAGAAGACGTAATACACTTTTACATTTTTATTCTATTATAATCTCTTTTATTATAAATGCTAAATTTGATGGTTATTTTTAATTTTTAAATTACATTATTAATTTATGAAATAAGTTGATTTATAAATTTACGTATTCAGGGGTGTTTTTACCGAAATTTTACGACTAACTTTCACCGCAATCTGACTAGTAACCTTTCAGATGGATGGAAAATCTTTAATGCAGAGCAATGGTAGCTTGATCTAGCTATCTGTATAAGGGGTTGAAAACACAAATAAAACATATCTATAAAAATAATTCGGTTCAATTTTATCTTAAAAAAAGTTAATTTTACAACTTTAATATTCATACCCGTGCATAGATACTATATATAATTTTCAAGATAAAAATAAAAATGGGAAAAGATAATAAATAGATGCGAATACAACTAAACAACTTGCAAGAAACTATGTAGTTCGTTGTCTCTTTTCGTGACCCATGAATCATGATTCCTCTGACAAATTACTTCATATTCTCACTCCTCAATAGCCAATAACAAGAAAGGAAAGACTACAATTTAAGAATAAAAATGAAACACTAACTAACACAAGTACAAAAATATCAAAGGTAAAAAAACTTATAATTTGATAAGAGAACATCACCACTGTATCCATGAACTGCATGTAAGTTTCCCTATAAAAGGAAATTGTATTATTAATTACTTTATTATTTTAACAATAATTACTTTGATATACGATTATGTAAATTCTGATGTATCAAGAATTACTTAATCATCTTTAAAGAAAATATATTACGAATTACTAATTTAAATCTTTTGATTAGATTTTATCATAGAGATTAAAATGAAAATTGAAATTAATGATATGAACTGTAGAAGGTGGCTGGTTGTGACGCAGAGAGACTTGACCAAAGTCTCACAAACATCTTTTCTACTTTTCTTTTTCCCAGATACTACCGCCACCCGTGTTTCTCAANAAATGTTCTATAACATGTAGACAGAAAATATTTGTTTACTTTTGCAATTTCAAAAATTGTCCCTTCATCTCTTTCCTTCCAACTATGAAATGGTCTCTTCCTCCTTTTCTTTCATTTGGATTTTTTTCTCATGAATATATAATTAATTATTAAGAATGAATTTATGGAATCAACATCATATAATAGGTGTAATTGGCTTTTGCATCAATTTAATGTTCTTCCCTTTTCCTTGTTTGTTCTTCTTTTAGTTTCAAATTTGCATTTTTTGTCATTATAAATTGTGTTTTAAATTTTAGAAATCAAATAAAAAATCATTAAATTTTGAATATAAATTAAATTTAATGATATTTTAATTTGACTTTTATAACTGATTTAATTGATTAATTAAATAAGTTTATTATTCAAACTTGTATAAAAATATTTAAATAACTATGGTAAGAGGAATTATTTTATTTTTGAATATATGAATTCACCTTTCACTATATTTAATTTTCTTTTCATGAATTTATTGTGTTTTGACATGTTTTTGTAAGATTTGAACATCTTTTAAGAGAGATATAGCTTTTATATTAAACATTTGCCTTTTTTTATTTAAAAGTTTTAGTATAAATAGAAATTAATTAAATAAGGATTATTTTTTAAAACCTATGGTATCTCTAAAAGGAAAAACTTTCTCGTTACTTTACTTTTCTTTAAAAAATTTAACCTTCACTCATTTATTTAAATATTAAAAGTTATTAATGAATTTTTATTCCATTAGACATATAATTGATATAAGTTTTTCTTATAAAGATATTTTTATTTTATTATGATTAGGGGTGTTTAGACGAAAAATAACTTATGTTGATATAAGTATTGTTGTACTTTTACTCAGATAAAGAAAATTAGTTATTTATGTAAATAACTTATGTTGTAAGAGAATTCATGTAAATATGAATTCATATTATAAGAATTAAAAGGTATATATATATAATTGATAATTATAGTTTTTTTCATTTTATTTTTTTATGTATAGATTATTATTGGTCGACCCTTCTAGGTTGATAATTTGACCGATCTATTTGGATCGATCAATTTTGACCGATTTATTTGGATCGATCACTCTTGATTGGCCGTTTTTAGTTGATTATTTTGGGTTGACCACTCTGGATCGATCACCTTTTGGTTGACTACCATTTGGTCGATTATCTTTTAGTCAAACTCTAGACATATTATCTATGGTCGACCATCCTTGATCAACCACTTTGACCGAATGATAAGACATAGCGATTACAAAATGAATGTCATATTAAATGAGTAATTATCACGAATAAACTTTCCACTACTAATTAAGTAAGGTATGATTAAGTTAGTTAAAAGATAAAAAGTCCATAATAACTACTATAAATAAAAGTCTACAATATGATTTTTATGTACATACACTACACATGTATCATGGTAGTTAATACTTTTTCACTTGATCACCTACTACCTTTAATATTGTAATACCTTTTATAAGTACCATCGGAACAGTTTATACACAAAAAAAACTTCTAAGAGCAACTAATTGAAAACCAACTCGTAAGAAAGATTATTTAGAATCCAGCCAAATCGTCGTCGCGCCAGCAACACTGTCGTCCAATCTCCATCATAGAATCATCCACCACTAACCACCAGGCAAATCGCCAGCTGCTGCATATCGCAAATCGCCACTCTTCTTCACCACTAATCGCACCGCTCCTTGCCTCCACCTGCAACTACAATCAAACTTGCAAGCAAATCATGGAAATCTAGGGTTTCTCCTGTTCTCGTCGCATAACTTTGGTGGTGGCGTGTGATGCGTTGGAGAGGACAGCTGCCGGAGAGGATGACGGTGACGACACGGGATGGTGCGGCGGCTAAGGTTTCTTTGAAAGAAATTAGGGTTTGGTTGGAGATGGTGATGATGACGTGGCAGAGACTTTTTTTAAATTAAAAAATCATTTAAGTCCACCTATTAATGTGTGCCACGTGCTTATGAGATGCCATAGTGACATTTACACTGTTATATTTTTAATAACTTGAGCGGAAAAGACCGGATTCAATATTTTTTAATGAAATATGAGATCTTATTAAACTTTGTTAAAAGGTAGAATTACTTTGAACCAAACTCCTATAATGGTCAAATGATATATTAAACATTTAATAAATAAGAAAAACAAATCCTATGAGATAATGATCGGACAATCTCTTTCTGATCATACATTTCAAAGACCATACAGAGAAGACGTAATACACTTTTACATTTTTATTCTATTATAATCTCTTTTATTATAAATGCTAAATTTGATGGTTATTTTTTATTTTTAAATTACATTATTAATTTATGAAATAAGTTGATTTATAAATTTATGTATTCAGGGGTGTTTTTACCGAAATTTACGACTAACTTTTACCGCAATCTGACTAGTAACCTTTCAGATGGATGGAAAATCTTCAATGCAGAGCGATGGTAGCTTGATCTAGCTATCTGTATAAGGGGTTGAAAACACAAATTAAACATATCTATAAAAATAATTCGGTTCAATTTTATCTTAAAAAAAAGTTAATTTTACAACTTTAATATTCATACCCCGTGCACAGGATACTATATTTAATTTTCAAGATAAAATAAAAATGGGAAAAGATAATAAATAGATGCGAATACAACTAAACAACTTGCAAGAAACTATGTAGTTCGTTGTCTCTTTTCGTGACCCATGAATCATGATTCCTCTGACAAATTACTTCATATTCTCACTCCTCAATAGCCAATAACAAGAAAGGAAAGACTACAATTTAAGAATAAAAATGAAACACTAACTAACACAAGTACAAAAATATCAAAGGTAAAAAAACTTATAATTTGATAAGAGAACATCACCACTGTATCCATGAACTGCAAGTAAGTTTCCCTATAAAAGGAAATTGTATTATTAATTACTTTATTATTTTAACAATAATTACTTTGATATACGATTATGTAAATTCTGATGTATCAAGAATTACTTAATCATCTTTAAAGAAAATATATTACGAATTACTAATTTAAATCTTTTGATTAGATTTTATCATAGAGATTAAAATGAAAATTGAAATTAATGATATGAACTGTAGAAGGTGGCTGGTTGTGACGCAGAGAGACTTGACCAAAGTCTCACAAACATCTTTTCTACTTTTCTTTTTCCCAGATACTACCGCCACCCGTGTTTCTCAATCCCTATAAATACTTTCCACAATTCCCAATTTCACAATCCATTCACAAAAACCACACAACCATAATTTTTCTAAGCAAAAAGCACAATGGAAACCGCATCCACACTTACCTTCTTCCTCCGCCATGTCGCCGCCAAGTACCCCTCCCGCCGAGCGCTCTCCGTCGCTGCCAAATTTGACCTCACCCACTCCCGCCTCCAACAACTGGTGGAATCCGCCGCCCAACGGTTGCTCACCGCCGGAATCAAGCCCGGCGATGTCGTCGCCCTCACCTTCCCCAATACCGTCGAGGTCCGTTCCCTAATCTGTAAACTCTTACACCGTTGTCAATTATATTACATTACGTAACAAACAATATCATCTGATTAAATTTTCCTTCTCGCAATATTTGAACAATGAAACAATGTCGATCGTTTTTTCGTTAATTGCGAACCATTGTTTTCTTTAACGTTTCAGTTTGTCATCATGTTTCTTGCCGTTATTCGAATTCGGGCCACAGCCGCGCCGTTAAACTCGGCTTACACAGCCGAAGAGTTCGAGTTTTATTTATCCGACTCCGAGTCCAAGCTTCTCCTAACATCTTCAGAAGGAAACAACGCAGCTCAAGCCGCAGCTTCAAAACTCAACATAGCTCACGCCACGGCTTCGGTAACCCAAGCCGAGAATAACGAACCCGAGCTGAGTCTCTCGCTGAGTCAATCCGACTCGGTTAACTCGGTCGATTCGGTTCAGTCAGTGATTAACGATCCTGATGACGTGGCGCTTTTCCTTCACACCTCCGGCACCACAAGCCGACCCAAGGGAGTGCCGCTCACTCAGCACAACTTGCTCTCTTCGGTACAGAACATTAAATCGGTGTACCGACTCACAGAGTCTGACTCGACGGTGATTGTGCTTCCGCTTTTTCACGTGCACGGTTTGATTGCGGGGTTGCTTAGTTCCCTCGCGGCCGGTGCGGCGGTGGCGCTGCCGGCGGCGGGAAGGTTCTCCGCCTCTGCGTTCTGGAAAGACATGGTGAAGTACAATGCCACGTGGTACACTGCGGTCCCCACCATACACCAGATTATACTGGACCGCCACGCGAACAACCCCGAACCGGTTTACCCGCGGCTCCGGTTCATACGAAGCTGCAGCGCGTCTCTGGCACCGGCTATTTTGGGTAAACTCGAGGAGGCTTTCGGTGCGCCGGTGTTGGAAGCTTATGCGATGACGGAAGCGTCGCATCTCATGGCTTCGAACCCTTTGCCGCAAGATGGGCCGCACAAGGCCGGGTCGGTTGGAAAGCCCGTGGGACAAGAAATGGTTATTTTGGACCAAACGGGTCGGGTTCAAGAGGCTGAAGTTAGCGGAGAAGTTTGCATTCGTGGCCCCAATGTTACGAAAGGGTATAAAAATAACGTGGATGCCAATACGGCGGCGTTTGAATTTGGTTGGTTCCATACCGGTGATGTTGGCTACTTGGATTCTGATGGTTATTTGCACCTCGTTGGTCGCATCAAGGAACTCATCAACCGTGGAGGTATGTTAATATTTATTATTCAAAATCTTTTTGTTCATAAATTATCAAAATATTATTTTGCCTTCGAATATACTATTTTCTGCAAATTTCTTTGGAAGGTATTGCGAATATTCTGAATTGAGGGAACCATGCTTTTTCAAAATTCGGTGCATTGACTGTTTTGAAGGAAAAGTTTGGGTTGAATACAGACTAAGCTTAACCATTGATTTTGGTGATTCATTGTCTTAGAGAAATATTTGTTGGTGGTGTGTCATTGATGACGTGAGTTTGATTCTTGTTGAGTAATTTGTCTGGTGTAAACTCAAGAGACTTCTTAATAGTTTTGCGCGTTACGTGAACAACTTATCAATATTTAAATTGTGTGTGAGAATTATTATAGTATTCTCAGATGAAACAAATGTCATAACTGTTTTTATATTCACTAAGGTTGAAGTCGGGCTTTTTGTTTGGTATCAACAACTATTAGAGTTGTGGTTTGTACGTCAAGAGAGTGACAGTGATGTTAATTAGGTTTTGATTTGGCAGTTATGTGAGNTTTACGTCCTCTTTTAATAAAGGTTTAATATATTATTTAGTCCATATTTTTAGAGATTTGGTTCAAAGTAATCATATCTTTTAAAAAAGTTCAGTAAGATCCCATATTTTGTTAAAAAATGTTCAATCTGGTCCTTTTCACTCACCCGTTAAAAACATAACGGTGTAAATGCCACGTCATCATCACCATATCCAGATAAACCTTAATTTCTCTCCAAGAAACCCTAGTCGCCTCACCATCCAGCGCTGTCATTGCCATCCCCGTCGACAACTGTACTCTCCAACACATCACGCGCCACCACCAAAGCGTCTTCTCCCTTATGTTGCACCTCCATCACCTTCACATCTCACCTTCGTTCTCGCGCCACCACCCAACGCCATCCCTTGCTATGCCACGATCACCAATCTTCACCATTTTCACCCCTCGCACCAGCCAAATCGTCGTCGCGCCAACAGCACTGCCGTCCAATCTCCATCACAGAATCGTCCACCACTAACCACCAGCCAATCGCCACCTGTTCGCCACTCTTCTCCACCACTAATCGCACCGCTCCTTGCCTCCACCTACAACCACAATTATACTTGCAAGCAAATCATGGAGACCTAGGATTTCTCCTGTTCTTGTCGCATAGCTTTGGTGGTGGCGTGTGATGCGTTGGAGAGGACGACTGCCGGAGAGGATGGCGGTGATGACACGGGATGGTGCGGCGGCTAAGGTTTCTTGGAGAGAAATTAGGGTTTGGCTGGAGATGGTGATGATGATGTGGCAGAGATTCTTTTTTTAAATTAAAAAATCATTTAAGTCCACCTATTAATTTGTGTCACATGCTTATGAGATGCCACGGTGACATTTGCACAGTTATGTTTTTAACGAATTGAGCGGAAAAGATCAGGTTGAACATTTTTTAACGAAATATGAAGTTATACTGAACTTTTTTAAAAGGTAAAATTACTTTGAACCAAATTCCTATAAATAGTCATTTAATAATATATTAAACCTTTAATTAATAAGAAAAACAAATCCCATGAGATAATGATCGGACAATCTCTCTCTGATCATACATTTCAAAGACCATACACAGAGAAGACGTAATACACTTTTACATTTTTATTCTATTATAATCTCTTTTATTATAAATGCTAAATTTGATGGTTATTTTTAATTTTTAAATTACATTATTAATTTATGAAATAAGTTGATTTATAAATTTACGTATTCAGGGGTGTTTTTACCGAAATTTTACGACTAACTTTCACCGCAATCTGACTAGTAACCTTTCAGATGGATGGAAAATCTTTAATGCAGAGCAATGGTAGCTTGATCTAGCTATCTGTATAAGGGGTTGAAAACACAAATAAAACATATCTATAAAAATAATTCGGTTCAATTTTATCTTAAAAAAAGTTAATTTTACAACTTTAATATTCATACCCGTGCATAGATACTATATATAATTTTCAAGATAAAAATAAAAATGGGAAAAGATAATAAATAGATGCGAATACAACTAAACAACTTGCAAGAAACTATGTAGTTCGTTGTCTCTTTTCGTGACCCATGAATCATGATTCCTCTGACAAATTACTTCATATTCTCACTCCTCAATAGCCAATAACAAGAAAGGAAAGACTACAATTTAAGAATAAAAATGAAACACTAACTAACACAAGTACAAAAATATCAAAGGTAAAAAAACTTATAATTTGATAAGAGAACATCACCACTGTATCCATGAACTGCATGTAAGTTTCCCTATAAAAGGAAATTGTATTATTAATTACTTTATTATTTTAACAATAATTACTTTGATATACGATTATGTAAATTCTGATGTATCAAGAATTACTTAATCATCTTTAAAGAAAATATATTACGAATTACTAATTTAAATCTTTTGATTAGATTTTATCATAGAGATTAAAATGAAAATTGAAATTAATGATATGAACTGTAGAAGGTGGCTGGTTGTGACGCAGAGAGACTTGACCAAAGTCTCACAAACATCTTTTCTACTTTTCTTTTTCCCAGATACTACCGCCACCCGTGTTTCTCAATCCCTATAAATACTTTCCACAATTCCCAATTTCACAATCCATTCACAAACACCACACAACCATAATTTTTCTAAGCAAAAAGCACAATGGAAACCGCATCCACACTTGCCTTCTTCCTCCGCCATGTCGCCGCCAAGTACCCCTCCCGCCGAGCGCTCTCCGTCGCTGCCAAATTTGACCTCACCCACTCCCGCCTCCAACAACTGGTGGAATCCGCCGCCCAACGGTTGCTCACCGCCGGAATCAAGCCCGGCGATGTCGTCGCCCTCACCTTCCCCAATACCGTCGAGGTCCGTTCCCTAATCTGTAAACTCTTACACCGTTGTCAATTATATTACATTACGTAACAAACAATATCATCTGATTAAATTTTCCTTCTCGCAATATTTGAACAATGAAACAATGTCGATCGTTTTTTCGTTAATTGCGAACCATTGTTTTCTTTAACGTTTCAGTTTGTCATCATGTTTCTTGCCGTTATTCGAATTCGGGCCACAGCCGCGCCGTTAAACTCGGCTTACACAGCCGAAGAGTTCGAGTTTTATTTATCCGACTCCGAGTCCAAGCTTCTCCTAACATCTTCAGAAGGAAACAACGCAGCTCAAGCCGCAGCTTCAAAACTCAACATAGCTCACGCCACGGCTTCGGTAACCCAAGCCGAGAATAACGAACCCGAGCTGAGTCTCTCGCTGAGTCAATCCGACTCGGTTAACTCGGTCGATTCGGTTCAGTCAGTGATTAACGATCCTGATGACGTGGCGCTTTTCCTTCACACCTCCGGCACCACAAGCCGACCCAAGGGAGTGCCGCTCACTCAGCACAACTTGCTCTCTTCGGTACAGAACATTAAATCGGTGTACCGACTCACCGAGTCTGACTCGACGGTGATTGTGCTTCCGCTTTTTCACGTGCACGGTTTGATTGCGGGGTTGCTTAGTTCCCTCGCGGCCGGTGCGGCGGTGGCGCTGCCGGCGGCGGGAAGGTTCTCCGCCTCTGCGTTCTGGAAAGACATGGTGAAGTACAATGCCACGTGGTACACTGCGGTCCCCACCATACACCAGATTATACTGGACCGCCACGCGAACAACCCCGAACCGGTTTACCCGCGGCTCCGGTTCATACGAAGCTGCAGCGCGTCTCTGGCACCGGCTATTTTGGGTAAACTCGAGGAGGCTTTCGGTGCGCCGGTGTTGGAAGCTTATGCGATGACGGAAGCGTCGCATCTCATGGCTTCGAACCCTTTGCCGCAAGATGGGCCGCACAAGGCCGGGTCGGTTGGAAAGCCCGTGGGACAAGAAATGGTTATTTTGGACCAAACGGGTCGGGTTCAAGAGGCTGAAGTTAGCGGAGAAGTTTGCATTCGTGGCCCCAATGTTACGAAAGGGTATAAAAATAACGTGGATGCCAATACGGCGGCGTTTGAATTTGGTTGGTTCCATACCGGTGATGTTGGCTACTTGGATTCTGATGGTTATTTGCACCTCGTTGGTCGCATCAAGGAACTCATCAACCGTGGAGGTATGTTAATATTTATTATTCAAAATCTTTTTGTTCATAAATTATCAAAATATTATTTTGCCTTCGAATATACTATTTTCTGCAAATTTCTTTGGAAGGTATTGCGAATATTCTGCATTGAGGGAACCATGCTTTTTCAAAATTCGGTGCATTGACTGTTTTGAAGGAAAAGTTTGGGTTGAATACAGACTAAGCTTAACCATTGATTTTGGTGATTCATTGTCTTTGAGAAATATTTGTTGGTGGTGTGTCATTGATGACGTGAGTTTGATTCTTGTTGAGTAATTTGTCTGGTGTAAACTCAAGAGACTTCTTAATAGTTTTGCGCGTTACGTGAACAACTTATCAATATTTAAATTGTGTGTGAGAATTATTATAGTATTCTCAGATGAAACAAATGTCATAACTGTTTTTATATTCACTAAGGTTGAAGTCGGGCTTTTTGTTTGGTATCAACAACTATTAGAGTTGTGGTTTGTACGTCAAGAGAGTGACAGTGATGTTAATTAGGTTTTGATTTGGCAGTTATGTGAGGAAGGAAGTAGGTATAAACTATCCATATCATGACACGAAGTTTAGTTCATTCACTTTATATCTTATGTGAAAAGTAGAGAACACTATAGAAGTTGTATACTTTATTTTCATTTATTTAGCGTCAGAAAGAGAAAAAGAAACAGAGTTCATTTCAGAGTTTTCATTTTCAGAAAATTTAATAAACTCACTGATACATGTTAACTGATGAGAAGGGTTTTTAAATTTTAGGCGAAAAGATATCACCAATTGAAGTTGATGCTGTTCTGCTTTCACATCCGGACATTGCACAAGCAGTTGCTTTCGGAGCGCCTGATGCCAAGTACGGTGAAGAGGTGTGTCTCTGTCTGATTCATCCTTTTTAAAATTTTACACACTCTACAAATTTGACGGCCTTTTCTTAAAGAAACCACATAAATACAACTACAAATTTTGCCCATCACCATTTTTTATGGGCGATATATGTTGCCACAAAATTGAGTTATATGAGTAATTAGTAATATAATACATTTTTTTGATTCTTTCTCTTTCCACTGGTCATACCCTAATGTTTTATACACCGCTTATAAAGAATAAACTTGGCATAAAAAGGGTCATGCCCCACAAGAATAAACACTGGCCTACTTTTTTGGTATTATTTATGACATTGGCATATCGGGCGTTCTTCTATTTTTTGCATTGGTTGGGTAATGGAGGGCCACTCATAAGTAACACGTAACTGAAAGACAAGCACAACTGAGGATTTCTGAGCCATTTAATGTTTATCACTTTCTGGCTTCAAAGGTCATATTCTAATCATGTACCAACATTTTGTGGCGTACAAGAAAATCCTTTTAATCGAGGAGTCCA